GTGGATATTGTTGCCATTAAGTGAAATTGAAAACTCAGAAATTCTGAGTAATGGATCTAGTTCTCCTAGATGTGGCCTTGAGGTCTTGGGAGATGTTCAGCAGGGAACTGGCTATAAGCTCAAAACTCAAGTGAAGACTGATGGCTGAGGATTTATTTGAAGGTCATGGGAGGTGAGGCATCAAGAGGAATCAAGACACCCAAGGACAGCAAGGAGAGAGAAGATTAGTAGGCCATGGTAACGCCATATATTTAGATATTGGAGGTAGAAGACAAAAACCTCATAGAAGATACCACACAGAAATGGCCAGAGAAGTGAAAGGAGTAGAGGATGTCTAGAAGTGGGTGGCCAGTAGGATCAGAAGCACCAAAAAGGTCCAGTAAGATAAAGACTAAAAGGTACCCATTGGGTTTGGTAGTGTGATTAGAATGATTTCACTGTTGGTCTTTGTCTGGGCAGTTCAGTGATGGAGGTGGAAAGATTATTTTTGTTGTGGAGTGAAGCAGGCAGCAAGAATAAATTCCTTTCCAATGGAGGTTTTTGTAAGTAAGAGAAATAAAACTAAGCTAACAAGGAAGTAGGATTTTTACAGGTAAGACTGGGATGTATTTAGAGGAATAGGGGAAAGGTCCAACAGGAAAGGGTTGAAGATACAGGAGACATCACTGCAAGGAGAAAGGCATAATCGTGATTGGCTTCCACCAATCTTAGTTCATCTGCCGGGGCTGAGAGAGGAGCACACCACTCCTGGGCTTGCTGTACCCTTTACCTGAAAAATATGGGGTTTCTGAAATCAAGGAATAAAAGGGCAATGCTGTTGGGAAATCCAATAGTGTCTGCTACACCAACCCTCTCTCTGTTTAAATATGTTGTGGCAAAATTGCATCTGCAGTGATTCATTATCAAAAGATTGAAAGGCTCATATTGCACATTTAAATACTTATTCCATGGTTTTTCTTAGGCTTAACCTAATTTTAATTAAGCCTGAGTCTGTGAAGATATGCTAACTTGCTTAAATATATTTTTCTCTACATGCTGGCACACCCACCCTGGAATTTAATGGATAGTAAAGTTATGCAAAGAATCCCTATGCAACAAGAACTAGGACATTTTCTGCCAAGACCACCTCCAATACAAACATATACACAACACCAGTCCGTGCTAGACGTAGAATTTGCTCTTGAATACCAACATCTATTTGCCACACTGTGGAGCAAATGTGTTTTCATTCTCTTGATTAAAATAACAGGAAGTGTCATCATTCTTGAAGTCTTGGTATTTATAACAGAAATATAGCCACAAACTAATATAACTATGGAGACTCTTGCTGAGGTCTATTGGCAAAATGTCTGGTACCATCCCTGGTTTGGGATGAAAAGTGTTGCAACTAAATAATTGTACTTCTCAAGCAATGCTCAGATCTACTGTGAGGACCCAACCCAAGGGGGCTACAAACTGGTACAGAAGTCCTCTCTAACCTCTATCCTGAAAGGGGCCTCTGCCTCTTCAGCCAGACTGGCAGGTCATGGAAATTCTACTCTTGCAAAGGGAGCTGCAAATACAAGAGAAATATTTCTTCGGTATTTACTTTGACCAGTGAAATAGCTATGACAGATTTTTTCTTTTCCCCAAGACACAAAGTGACATTTTAAAGGAGAAACTACTCTTGGTACCATACAGTCTTTAAAAAATAATATTAGAATAAAGGCTCAAAGGAATGTCTCCTTAAGCACAGCTGTCCAGAGCCTCCATTTCAAGGAGAATTCAGCCACCTTATGCAGACAGGGAAACAAGACTGCTCATTTTAGCTTCTTGGATCTATTTCTTTGTACTCAGCATCAGATTCGAAACTAGTGACACCCTCTTGGTTCAAGGGCTCTTTTTGCCTGTGTTGCTATTAAATGCATGCTACATTGTAACATTGCTTCTCTTTTCATATTTACGCTCTGTTTTCCCAACCAGATCATAAACTCTTTAAGGTCAGGGGCCACATCTTGTACTCCTTTATTTCTTGCAGAGTTGGGTCTGTCACGGTAAACTCGCAGGAAATTGCTGTTGAATGGATGAATGAATGAAAGAATGACAAAAACTGGAGAGCAGTGGTAGGTGAGTTGCTAGGCAGCCTGGCAAAGAGGATTATAAGAGTCAGGTCCAATTAGCAGGAGAGGTGATGTAGGGTAAAGAATGTTACATTTTGAGCCAGCAGACATGGGTCCTAGTCCCAGGCTGTCTTGCTTGTCTTCACTCATTCAACAAACATTTCTTAAACTTCTAATGAGCCAGGCAGGCATTGTGGCAGGCACTGAATGAGACAAAATCCCTGCCCTCAAGACGCCATGGTGGTGGTGAGGGGGACATGTGGAGATCAGGATTATAGCAGATATGTGTCCTAGATGATCATGGCACGCGCAGGGCACAGGGAAGCAAGCAAAAGGGGCTTCAAAATCAAACTGGTTTCCAGAAAGCCTCCTGAAGGAGGTGGGCTGGGATTCAAGTCTTGAAGGATGCGTAGGTATTGACTTGAGATTGGGAAATCTCATTGCAGATAAAAGGACTTGTATGTGAGGATGTTCTAAATCATAACATAGGATGTTGCCTTTGAGAACTAGTCTCAGCTGAAAGGTGGCCATGGCAGAAGACAAGGTTAGAGACGTAGGCTAAAGCTACTTTTCAAAGGGCCTTGCCACAGTGTAATTTAGGGGTTAGGAGTAGAGGTTTAGAGATCAGAAACAACTGGGTTCAAATCTCAGCTCTGGTACTTACCAGCCATGTGATAATGACTGATTTTTTTTTTTTAAACCCCTCTAATGGCCGGGCACGGTGGCTCACACCTGTAATCCTAGCACTCTGGGAGGCCAAGGCAGGAGGATCATTTGAGCTCAGGAGTTTGAGACCAGCCTGAGCAAGAGCGAGACCCTGTCTCTACCAAAAATAGAAAGAAATTGGCTGGACAACTAAAAATATATAGAAAAAAATTAGCCGGGCATGGTGGTGCATGCCTGTAGTCCCAGCTTCCCGGCAGGCTGAGGCAGGAGGATCGCTTGAGCCCAGGAGCTGGAGGTTGCAGTGAGCTAGGCAGACGCCACAGCACTCTAGCCCGGGCAACAAAGCGAGACTCTGTCTCAAAAAAAAAAACAAAACAAAAAACCCTCTAAGCCTTAGTTTCCTTAAAAGAGTGTCTGGCTGTATCAGCTATCTATTGCTGCATAACAAATTATCCCAAAACATAATGGCTTAAAATATTAATAACACATAATTCTCACAGTTTCTGTGGGTCTGCAATCTGGGCATTGGCTTAGCTGGGTTCTCTGCTTCAGGGTCTTTCACAAGGCTGCAATCAAAGTGTCAGCTAGGGCTGAGGTATCAGCCAACATGGCACCTTATTCATCAAAGTCAATGACGGACAGTCTGCTAGCAAGGCAGAAGTCACAGTCTTATTTAGCCTGATGCCATTGAAGTGATGTCTTTTCACTGCTGCCACTCTCTGTTAGAAGTCACAGGTCAGTCGCACTGCTGGGATAGGGATTATGCAAGGGAGGGAACACCAGGAAATTGGGATCACTGGGGACCATCTTAGAGTCTGCCAGCCTCAATAGCTTCTGGCTTAGTAGCACTGAACAAATGTAAATGACTATTATTATTAGCTGATTTAGGAAAAGCTACAGGGGGCCAGTGAAGGATTTTATATCAGGGAGTAACTTCAGGTGACCCTGGGCAAGTCGAGTCACCTAATGTGTTTGAGCCTTCATTTCATCCTCAGTAAAATGAAAATACCTGACCCTAGAAAGAATGAGAAAATATATGTTCAAGCATAAAGATATATTTTTTAACAGCAAATACACAACTCTCCACAGTCTGAGGAAGCAAACTGCTTTGGGCCAGTTTTCCATTTTGTGTTTATGCTTGTGAGTCTCACAGTCTGCTATCGTCAAGGTTTTTAGCGTTTGGTCAGGATCCTGTGGGCCCATGAGAGTTTGTAAAATTGGAATAAACACCTACAAAGAGAAATCTGTCTTTCCAGAGTCCCTTAAGGAATTTTCAAGGGTTTGCTTTTTTCCTTTCTTTTTAAACACCATTGCTTCTAAGGACCCTATGGGGGGCCTGAGAGAGAGAAAACAGACTGGGAAATTTCAAGCTCTTGATAATAAAAATGGTAATAAAATCTCGTCCGGCTCCTGAGGCTTCACAGAGGGAATGTTTATGGTGGATGGGGTTCCCCCTCTCCTGCGCAGCTGGCTTAGCGGTCGTGCGGTTTCCAGGCCTGCGGAGCAGCTCGGGTTACCACCCCGCGGCCGGCCAGGGCAGCTCCAAAGGCGCGGGCAGCGGGCGAAAGAGCCCAGGCCCCCCCACCCCGGCGGCTCGCCCATGTCTGCTTGGTGCCCTACCGGAATGCCTCACCCTACGCCCCAAACAGAGGGGATCGCACACAGGCGCGTTTCGTGGTCTTCCCTGCTGCGGTTTTCCCCGGGGAAGGTATTTTCAGAGGGAGGCCCGGTCCTCCCCTGCGGCCAGCCTCCGGGAGGGGGACGGAACTTAGGCGTCAGTCCCTCCCGCTTCGTACAAAGGCGCGCTTCTTCTCAGGGCGACTCTGGGTGGAGCGAAGCGGCCGAGGAGACTGTGACAACGCCCCTTTGCCCCTTTGCTACTCCGACCGAGGGCCTGGCCTGGGGGGCCAGGGTGGCCCGGGACCCCAGGGCAGGGTGCAAACCTTCCATAACTGCTCCACCAGCCCGTCGGGGCCGCACCGCGCAGCCAGCGCTGCACACGCGCCGCGGGGTCCCTGCGCGCTGAGGTCACCTCCTGCAACGCCGCTGTCCTCGGACCTTGCGGGCCATTAGCTCCCAGGGGTTGGGGCGGTGGCTTGTCGGGACCGCCGGGCAGCGGGTAGGGGAGGCTGACCCACAGGCTCTCAGGAGCGGAGCGGAGGAGGAGCGACTCGGAGCGGCCCGGCCACGGGCTTTTACCTCGCCAGCCCCGCCGCTCCCGCGACCGCTGCCTTAGAAAACTTAACGAGAACCAGATGTGGTGGCAGCTGCCGAACTTTCTCAGAGCCGGTGATTGGTCGCCGGCCGAGGGCCGCAGCCAACCAGCGCTCTGGGCGGGCCTGGAATCCCGCCCCGCCCGGGCGCCCGGGGTTCCAGGTTCGAGGCTGGCGCGGCGCGGCCAGTGGGCAGGCGGGCCGGGCCGGGACGCGCTCTGCGGCGGGGCAGCCCACGGGCCGAGCGAGCATGCGGGGGGACCGGGCCGCCGGGCGGCGGGCGCTGCCGTCGCCACTTCTGCTGCTGCTGCTGCTGTCGCGGGTCGCGGCGCTGCACCGGGGCGAGCTCTTCCCCCACGGGGAGTTGTGGGGCGACCAGCTCCTGCTGGAAGGCGACGACGAAAGCTCAGCCGCGGTGAAGTTGGCGATTCCCTTGCGCTTCTACGAGGCCCAGTTCAGCAACCTCTACGTAAGCTCAGCCCCCTCCTGCTGCGCGACTCGGCACTTTGCTCCCAGCTTCTTCCCAGGGGTTGATATAGGGTCAATCTCACCGAAACCTTGCCCTCGGAGGCAAGGAATTAGTCCCCACCCCCGGTTGTCCTCCGGCGCCCCTGTGGTGAGACCCAACTAGGAAGAGATGCTGCTGCCTGACCGGCAGCTGTGAGGAGCAAGAATTACCTCGAGGGGGAGAGCGAGAATTGTTCGCAGCCACGTACGCGTCCCCGGCAGAAAAGAAGGTGGCGTTTCTAAGGTGGCCACTGGGGTTTGCAGTTAGGAGCGCGAGAAGGCTGTGCACGTCTGCAGAGACGGGGTGTTCCCTCCTCGGACCGGGAGGCTTTCCCCCAGGGACATGGGGCTCCAGGGTTGTTCGGGGGGTGGGGTGAGAAGACGGGTGAACGAGTTTTAGGGCTCCTGGACCTATTGTACCACGCTGCGGGCTAGTGGTGGGGGATGGAACCGTCGCTGAAGTTGCGTGGGTCGCCCGAACCTTGACTCCCTAGAGTGAGAGAGGGGAAGCCTCTTGCCCTGGGCAGTCCCCTTCCTTCCTTGCGCGACAGGGTGGCCGCCCTTGGGCCTGAGCGAGCGTCACTTTTTTGTCCCTCTCCTAGGTGGGCACCAACGGCATCATCTCCACCCAGGACTTCCCCAGGGAGACTCAGTATGTGGACGATGACTTCCCCACAGACTTCCCGGCCATCGCCCCTTTCCTGGCCGACATCGACACGAGCCACGGCAGGGGCCGGGTCCTGTACCGCGAGGACACCTCCCCGCCAGTGCTGGGCCTGGCGGCTCGCTATGTGCGCGCAGGCTTCCCGCGCTCCGCCGCGCGCTTTACCCCCACCCACGTCTTCCTGGCCACCTGGGAGCAGGTGGGCGCCTATGAGGAGGTCACACGCGGGGCGGCGCCCTCGGGGGAGGTAAGTGACCAGGGATGCTTGACCACTGAGCGAATTGAGGGATGGGCTTGAATTCTGGGCGGAAACCCAGGGCTCGGAATTTCTTCTGAGTCTGCTGTTGCGCTGAACCTGATGTATCATTGGTGGCACCAGGGCTGAAGTGGTTTGGAAGTGAAGAAGGCTGTTGTCTGTAGACATCTTATGAGGCTCTGACAGGCGGTCACTCTATTGAGAACAACTGCTTAGGGGATGTGAGACCCCGAGTGCAGATGTGGGAACCCCTCGGAACATGAGGCAGTTTACTGTTTGGTTGCTTATTTTAAAAATCACCTCTAAGTATACTAGTATTTCTAACTTTATATTCATCGAAGCAAAAGTCAGAAAATACAGGGAATTTAAAAAAGAACAATCACTCGTTTTCCCTCCACTGTTAGACATTTTCTTGTGTATGCTTTCCAGAATTTTTTTCTTATGCACATCTCTATTGCTGTTAACAATGATGGGTTCACACTGCACATACTGTTGTATAACTTGCTTTTTTTTCAATGAATAGTGTAGTGTGAATATGTTTCATTGTCAATAAATATATTTCTACAACAGCATTTGTAATGACTGCCTAATATTGTATCTAATGAATTTACCACAGTTTACTAAACCAGTGTTCCCAGTGGTCATTAAGGATATTTCCAACTTTTCATTATTATAAATAAAAGCACGAAGCACTTTTTAAAAAGCTAAATCTTTTCACATGTTCTTCGTTGATATTCCAGGAAGTGCGATTGGTAGGCCAAGCTACCAATTGGTAGTTTTTGCCGAATTGCCTTCCAGGCACCAGTTTACGTGTTCCTTAGTTTACAGGAGACTGTCCTGAATGTGTTTTACAGTCTCTACCTGGAGAAAGTAAAAGAACCCAGGCCCCCAGGCCTTAGTCTTGTCATCAACTCTTGAAGTACTCCAAATGGGCATCGGGTGGGGCCAGGGTGGCTTGGTAAGTGGAGAAATGACTCCTGGAGTAGGAAAGGGTTTCCTTCTACGAATTTAGACTTGAACCTAAAATGTCATACTCCATGGCTGAAACTGTGTGATTTATCTCAATGTCAACTCTTCAGAGTGTTTCTTAGCTCTAGAAAGATAACACATGTCCTCTCTAAGAGGTTAAGTTGCTTTCTCATTTGTCACTGATCCTGTAAGGATGCCACGATATAAGTCCTTTGGAGAAGGACTGTTTAAATACAAGTTTTCCTGAGTTACCTTTGTCTGGGCCTTTCTTGAGCAGGGAGAGTTAGGACAGGCAAAGATTTGTGGATTCCATTTCTCTTTTACTTTTCCAATTAAAATCTTTCTTCAGACATTGCCATATGCTGAGTTGGCTTCAGAATATGTTTCATTTAGAAAGGAGACGAGGATTCTGTTTGGATAGGGGATGTTTTTTCAATTACCCACGTTGAAGGTTCTTCTGAATATTTTAAAGAGTTCAGGGACTTGAGTTCTTGTTTTAATAGTTCTTTGGAGATAGATTTTGGCAAGCAGTAATCTACTTTGCTTGAGGACTGTGTGAGCAGTACATGGCTTTCTTAAATCTTGGCATACTAACCTTATATTGCAAAGTTACTGGAAACTGGAAGATATCAGAGGAATGGCATCTTTACCATTTAAAACAATTTCAGTTGGTGCCCTTTCTCTCTATGAATATGTGTGTTGGGTGTGACAGGATGTTGTACCTGATATCACAGGAATGTCAAAATATAATTGTATCTGAAAAAAATTTGAACAAATAGTGTTTATCAATTTAAGTAATCTGAGATTTCTTGAACTGTCATAGGCACTTCAGAGAAGTCAAGGTGTTGACCTTCAAAATACTTACTGACTGAAGACATAAAGAGGACTAGTGTTTACTTTAGCTGTGTCTTTTTGAAGGGAAGAGGACTATTTTGTTCTCATTTTAGGAATGGAGGTTATAGAGAATTAGGTTACACATATCTGACTATTGCGGGGACTGTTTTGTTGGTCTGGAATTTAAGTTGGGTCGAAAGAGCTGAAAGAATGGATATTAAGAATGAGGAGCAGAAGAGATTGTTCTGAGCTAGGGCATGTCCTGGGAGAAGGTTGAGTGAGCTGGGGCTGGAGAAATGAATGAAGGAGTCATGGGGCAGTGACATAAGACAGATGAGTGGGAGGTTGCCTCCTATGGTTTGAAAGTTTGTCCCCTCTGAAATTCATGTTGAAACTTAATCCTTAATGTGGCAGTATTGAGAGGTGGGGCCTTTAAATGTCATTGAGTCATGAGGGCTTTGCTCTCATGAATGGATTAATCCATTCATGGACTAATGGCGTATCATGGGAGTTGGGACTGGTGGCTTTATAAGAAGAGGGAGAGAGAACTGAGATATCATGCTCAGCCCTCTCATCTTGTGATGCCCTGAGTGCCTCTGGGACTCTGCAGAGTCCCCCCACCCTGCAAGAAGGCCCTCACCAGATGCAACCCCTTGATGTTGGACTTCTCAGCCTTCATAACTGTAAGAAATAAATTCCTTTCTTTATGAATTACCCAGTTTCAGGTATTCTGTGAGAAGCAACAGAAAACAGACTAAGACATTGCCCAATGAAGACCTTAACATGGGGACTAAGGCATGTTGACTTGGTTCAAAGAATGATAGTCATTGATGGAGGGGGTTGAAGTCCACTGAGAAATGAGAAGTAGAAGCAGGACTTTGTTGTACCTTTTTGACATGTGGAGCTAAGGTCCAGAAGAGTGGAGGTTTATAGTCTATCTGAGAGAGTTTGACCTGAGTCTGAGATACAGCTGTGAAGGACAGAGAGAATAGAGACATATATGGAAATTGGTTGAAGATATGCTGAAGTTTTGCTGAAGGCTAAGTGTCAGGAAGGATATAATATTAAGTATGTGATAGCACTGAGCAATTATCTTTGAATTTTTGGCAGGATCTGTAGGATTTAGTGCAGAAAACTAAATTAGGGAAGATCATGTGTGTGACAGTGTCCTACAGGCAATGGGAGGTGAAGAATTATAGGAAGGAATGGAGGTTAGTTTTCACACCAAACACTGGAGGCGGAAAGTCAATGATCCTACAACTCCAGAGGGCATGTGGCCCTAAGGAAGACAGGAAAGAGAACTTTGCAACCCCTGTAGGAGTCACCCTAGTTCTTTTCATTTTAATTTTGGTATGCCTCTATAGGCAAGCCCCTTGGGGAGAGGGATGGCACCATTCTGATTTTTTGCCAGATGGCTGCAGTTAACTAAGTGAATTGCAAAAATTAGAAACTCTTAGAAGGGCATGTGTTATATACATCAGCCTGGCTCTGCTGAGTGTCAAATCACCATCAATTGGTAATGTCCCTACACCTGGAAAGAACAGTCAGATTCCTGCCTGGTTTTCTGCTGAGGGTTCTGGCTTTTCTCTTTCTGATAACAGAATGGCAGAAACCTTGAAGCTACAGCCACTGGTGGTGATCCTCTCTGTGCTGCTCCTCTCCTTGTGGAGGCCCTGCTCTCTTCTCTGGGGTCCTGGGGGAGTTGGGAACCAGTGACCCTTTTGTCGAGTTTGGCAGCCCATCTGAGGGTTTCCCTTCAGAGACAGAGCCTGTGGGGCTCTTGCAGAGGCTTGTATCTAGGAATGCGAGGACCTTTCCTGTTTGGAAGCCAGTCAAGGAGTGCTTTGAGAGGAGGAGCTCTTCAGGACCTCATGAAGTGGGCTCTTCAGCAATTAGATGTAGAATTTTGTAGAACAGACAGAGAACTTTACAAGTGATCATTTGGTGTGTGGGTGGCTTTTAAACAGCCCAACTCTTTTGGAGTTGGGATCGTAAATTCTACTTAAAAGGAAATTGTTTTCTTCCTCTGATATTGGCCTATTTCAGTGGAGACAAGGAAATTAAATACTTGCCACCTGTAATAAGTGTGTCAGCGATGGCATATAGAAGATGCTGAATACATTTTAATTGAAATGAATTTGTTGGCTGAATGAATGAATAAAATAAAATGCTAAATACCCAGACTGCACAGCAAAAGCCAGACTTTTCCCTTCACAGCTCTGTTTACTTCTCTCCCCAACCTCCCCCATTCCATTCAGCTCTTCACAATCTATACAACCTCCTTATCTTACAGAATTTCTCTAAACTTAGAACCAGGATTTTCTGCTATCTTACATTTATTGTGGGTGATCAATGCCAGGAGCTTTGAAAGCCTAGCTTTTTAAAGTAAGGTTCTTTCACATTCCTTGAGTACTTTTCTTTTCCTAGTTGATCTTTATTTATGCTGACTCAAGCAAAACTCTGAAGTTAGTGAGTCCACATTAATTGATGATATAGAATATCTTATGTACAGACATGATGCGGAACAGCCTTTGTTTACATTGGCAGCAGTTAAGGCTTTTTAGCTTTGAGAAATTCTAGAAAACAGTCTTTGCCTTTTGTTTTTGGAAAAGTCAAGCTTTGCTGATGAAACAATCAACAACTAGAACATTAACAAATATGCTAGACCCCCTGTCTATTACTTTGCGAACCCAACGAATGAATGAAGCAAAACAAGATGACTTTTTCTATGTTAGAGAGCAAAAGAAAGCTTTATTGTATTTTGTTTTGTCTTGAAAAGCATGTTAACATCTACATTTCTTTGTCCTATCAGTAAAACCTCAAAACCATACTTTGGAATTAAACATTGAAAAGAAAAATTAACATTAGAAAACAGCTAGAACAACTTATGGGGGTAGAGGACTTCGGATAGAACTAAAGGAAGTGAACATTCCTTCCTTGCTGTTTTATTTAATAAAATGTAATGTTCTTCTCTGTGCCTAATTTTGTCTGTCTAACAAAATGTGAAGGTAATAATATAATACTTATCAAATAAATAACATTTCTAAGAGTCACATTATGTATGAAGTTAGTACTATTTTAAAAATACCTCCCCAGTTCCTTAGTAAATTATAAAAGGAGTGTGATATAGCGAGAGAGGTAGTCTCAGAGTCCTAAATATGACATCTTTTTGAGATAAACAAGCACCGTTAACAGATCTTTCGTGGGGCTGGGGAGCAGATAGCTGGATGAAAGTAAAGGCAAAAATCTCTCTTGTTGAAAATGCAAATATAAGTGGAATGTTAAAAGGTGATTCTAGAAGGACCTGGGTGTTGAGTATGTGGCTAATTTAGGCTCCTGATCTGTCTCTCTCTGGTCTGCCTTGGCTCCTGCAGTGTTTATAACATTCACAGGCTGCCTCTGTGATGCCTCCCCACCCCCACCTGAGGCCTTGGGCACACATTCTCCTCTGTGGCCTCCACTACCTTCTCCAATAATTCTCTTAAAATTTCAGCCAAGGCTGTTCCCTTCTCCTACAGTGTGAGACTGTCCTGAGCACCATCTCTTTGCCCTTTGCTTCTTTCTATCTTCAGCATTCAGCATAATGTCTAGTGCTTAGTAGGCACTTGGCTGTTTGCATGAATGTACAAATGAATAAGTGAATGGCGTTTACATGTATGTAAACCACTAACCAAGCAAAATCAGGTAAATGGTAACTAGAAATACTCACAAAGGTGTTATGGAGGGTCAGAGAACAAAAATAATTTTGCCGGGAATCCACAACACCTGTCTGAGTGGCAGCATTGGAAGGCTATGAGGATTTCTGGGCACAGGGAAACATGAGCAAAGTGTGTAGCAGGAGAGACATGGTACTAGTGGGGACTATTAAATAGTCTGATGAAGATGCAGTGGAACTGAGCCTGGGGAGGGAGTTTGGAGCCAGGTTACAAATTACGGGCGTGCTGAGGAGTGGTCAGAATGGCTGAGTAGGGCAGGGGACGGACTCTGGAGCTGGCTGCCCGGCACCGCGAACTTGCTACCTGACCCTGTGCAGATCTGTGAGCCCCGGTGTCTCCCTTTCCTCAGCTGTGAAATGAGGGTAACTCTGCTGCTGTGTGGAAGGGTAATGGATGAGAAAAGAGAGTGAGGCTGTGAGAACAGTAAGGAGGCCATTCGTCAGCCAGTGCTTGACACAGTGCCTGCCCATAATGGGCATTTCATAAACTGATGAATGAATGAATGACACAGATGAGAGATGCTGAGTGCCTAGGGTTGTAAACTAGGACAGTGACTGTGGGAATGGACAAGTTTATTTTGCTACTTGTTCTTAGCTCTGAAAGAGATTTGGATAAGAAAAGTTTGAAACCTGCAAAAATATTTTTAGCCTATATTTTACTGATGCATATTTAAACTATTAATCTAAAATTGATAAAAGATGCTTTTAATAATAAGTAATATTGCTTATAAAATTATATTTGTAACTTGAAGAGGAAATTTTAAAGAAATGTTATGTTTAAAGACAATTTGGAAAAGTCCTGGGAAGGGGTAAATTCTTTGCACTCTATGATGCTTTGGTTACTTTCTGTTTTTTTCTTCTTTTGTTTGTTTTTTTTAAGGATGTTTCCTATTTTTTTCCCCCCACAGCTGAACACTTTCCAGGCAGTTTTGGCATCTGATGGATCTGATACCTACGCCCTCTTTCTTTATCCTGCCGATGGCCTTCAGTTCTTTGGAACACGCCCCAAGGAGTCTTACAACGTGCAGCTCCAGCTGCCAGCTCGGGTGGGCTTCTGCCGAGGGGAGGCTGATGACCTAAAGAGAGAAGGACCATATTTCAGCTTGACTAGCACTGAACAGTCTGTGAAAAATCTCTACCAGTAAGTAACATCGAGCTGAAGCCCTTTCCTATTTGCATATAGGAACTTTTAGGAGGTCCCCTAAAAGTGACCATAAGACCATTAGATGATATCTTGGTGGCTTCCAAGCAAGGCATCAGGTCAAAACCAGGAGCTAGATTATACCCTGGTAGGATTCAGTTCACCAAAATATGAAAGGTCTTTTATTTGTCGTTCCCTGTTGAGTATAGATACTGGAAACAGAACTGTGTGTGTGTGTGTGTTTGTAGAGCCACTGAGGCTTGCTATGAAAAACATTGCTCTTGGAGCCACATAAAATATCCCATAATATAACTGCCCAAATTGAGGTTTGCCAGATTAATCATTTCCCAGGAGGAGACATTTTGATTTAGTCTTTTGGACAGATACTGTTAAAAATTAAATTGAGTAATGTAATTTAGAAAAAAATAAATAAAACAGGTTGGTAGGTTTTCAGAAGTGTCAGGATTTCTCCTTGACTTCATTACCTGCAGTGCATTGAACCCATTCCTTAGTCCCATCAGTGACTTACTCTGCTAGTGCAAGGATAAGCCTTGCCGCATTTTGTCAGTCCAAATAGTCCACTAGGATGTTTATTGAATTCAGGGTTTTGGGGTTTTTTTTTTTTTTTTTTTTTTTTTTGTCCTTGCTTTTATTCCTTCCCTGAATCCAGAAGCCAACCAGAGCATGTAGTTTACTTCCTGGCCTCCCTTAACTGCTTCTCAGTTTCATTACATCATTCCTGGGTGTAGGAACACCTTATACTTTTGCATGACCCCTGCTTTGCTCTACTCACTACCAGAAAGAGGGTACCAAAGCCAGGTACAGTTACTCAGAGATGACATTTATGGAGAGCTTACTATTTGCCAAACATTGTGCTAAACACTTGCCAGGTGTTATCTTAATTAAAAGTCAAGAATTGTAGGAGGCAAGTACTACTATTTTCTCGAGTTTATAGAGGAGCTTAGGGAAGTTAAGTAAGTTGCCTGTGATCTCAAAGTTAAGTGACAAAGCCAAAATCCAAGCCCAAGTCTGGAGCTCTGGACTACTTATTTTATGTGGAGTCCCTTTAGGTCTCCATCTAGCCTGCCGCTTAGTTTAGACTCTGAAACAAACTCAGCTCCTTGCTCCTTCTCTGGTTCCACCCTCCTCTTCTACTTGGGAGCGCACAGATTCTCTACTCCTCAGGCATTATAGAGAGCTCACAGCAAGCCAAGCACTTGAACTACAAAGATTTCCAAGGCACAGGCCCTGCACACCAGCACCTGGTACCCTACCAGGGTAGACAGACAAACTACAGAGCACTGGAATAAGTGCCAATGTCTGCACAGGGGCCAGGAGGCAGAAGGGATCAAAAAGCCTGCAGGAAGAAGCAGCTGTGTTCTCCCACCACAGCCATACAGACCACTTGGAACTAACACCCACACGCACACACCACACACACACACACACACACACACACACACACACACACACACACACACACACACACACACCACTTCCATTTACTCCTTTGTGCCTTTCCTTATTTTCATCTTTGATGTTTCCCAGAAACCTCTAACTTGCTTGGTGAGAGCAGAGTAAGAGATGGGGCCAAATGACTGACAGAGTTTTCTTCAGTGTAATCCATGCTTAATATAAACTAAAGCATAAGCAATGCAGAATAATGTGAAATAAAAGTAAAAATTACCCACTTCAGGCGATAATTAGTGTTAATAGTCTTTTCCAGAATTTTAGGTATATGAAAAAACTTTTTTAAATCAAAATGGTTTTTTTGCTATGTGGCATTTTCACATTTTTCACTACCTTTAGGGATCTTCATTTTAAGACTACAAAACATTATATAATATGTGTTCTATATTATAAAGACAATTTAAACATTTAACATGTTTCTGATTTTTCTTGTTATAAATATCACTGCAGTAAACAACACAATACACATTGCTCACGTGCTCATTTCTCCTTTAAATTCTTAAAAGAGGAATTGTCAAGAATGGATATGCAATTAAATGTTTTGATGTATATTAAAAAGTTCCTTCAGAAATGTTTCACCAAATTATATTCTCACCAATAATTAAGAGCTGTGATTGGCAGAGTCTATTTCCTACAGGCTTTTGTTCTTTTTAATGTTTGCAAATATGATACATATAAAATGTTCATATTTTCACTCTAATTTCTTTCATACTAGCAGAACTGAACACCTTTTCATATCTTTAACGTCCATTTACAGTCATGTGCCATGTAATGACATTTTGGTCAACGGCAGATGGTATATATGACAGTGATCCCGTAAGATTATAATACCATATTTTTATTGTACCTTTTCTGTGTTGAGATATGTTTAGATACAGAAATACTTACTATTGTGTCATAGTTGCCTTCGGTATCCAGTACAGTAATATGCTGTAGAGGTTTGTAGCCCAGGAGCAGTAGGCTATACCATATAGCTTAGGTGTGTAGTAGGATATACCATATAGGTTTGTGTAAGTACACTTCATGATGTTCATACAACGATGAAATTGCCTAACAATGCATTTCTCAGAATATATTGTCATTGTTAGGTGACACATGATTATATATATCTTTTTTTGGTGTGTGACTTGTTTGTCCTTATCCTTTTCTATTCGGGTGTTTAGAAAGAGCTCTCACAGATAAGAAAAAAAGTAGTAAGGATAGTAAGCTTCTCATGTGTTGTGAATATTTTATCCAGGTGTTGTCTTTGAACTTACTTATGATTTATAAGTTGTAAGTTTGGGTTATCTAAGTTATTGGTCTTTTCCTTTATGATTTTGGGTTTTGGTGTTATTCTTAGAAAGACCTTCTATACTTCAAAATTATAGCGATGTCTCTCTATGTAATCTTTTTGTTTACTTTTCATTATTAAAATATTCAAAAATATACAGAAAAGTGGAGAGTCTAGCTCAATGAACACCCAAATGCTCATCATTTCGATTTATATATTATAAACATTTTGCCATATTCATCTTTTTTTTGTTTAAATGTTTTGAAGTCACAAACATCATGCTAGTTTATTCCTAAATACTTTGGTACGTATCTCTAAAAAGTAATTTTCTTAGTCAATGGAATCTTTCTCTTCCTCACACTTGCCTCATAGTTGTAAGCTCAAAGGTCATAAATGGTATAATTCATAATGTTTGTCATAGTCTTCTTCTGAAAATTTAAATATGAATGCACATATGTGCATTTTTTGAAACTATACTTTTCTATCTCCTGGAAGACAAGACAGTAGTTACTAAGTACTTATTATGTGCAGGGCCCATGGTAGGCGTTTCGTGTGGTTTTCTCACTTAATTCTCCTAGCAACCCAGGGAGGAAGACAGTGTCATCCCGTTTTGTAGCCCAGCTTTTCTTTCTAGGAAATAAAGTTCTTTCTATCACTAAGCTTTCCGAATGACCTTGGATTTTAAAATGAACTCAAATTGGTTACTTTCCTATCATGCAGAATGGCAAAAGCCAGGATAGTGATTTATATCTAATTAGAAGGTTATTTTATTTAGCTTTTATCTGCCATAATTTGTATTCTCCTATTCTTTGAAGCTTTTATAGTTTTCTGTTTCTAACTTCAAGAGTAAATTTCACAGCTGCAATACCTCTAATGTGATAATAAACTCAATATCCTCAGATCTTCAGGATTTTCTCTTCTTTAGTTTTTCTTATTTGCTTGCTGATAAAGACCAACATTAATTCTTATGTACTTACCAAATATACATAGCATATTGCACACAAGATCACAGTTATGCTTTCTATGCTTCTCTTTCCCTAAATTAACTACAACAACAGCAACAAGAGCATATCCATACACACATATACATACACACCCACATGGGAAAGATATTCTGGAATTGTGTTGAAAAATATTATTATGATAGAAACCCACAAGAACATGATGAGTACCTACCCAAAGGAGGAAAGGTCTTTTGTTCTTGTACACTTCAATGACTGTCTTATTATCTTATTAGTCATTAACTCTTACTCATCATTGACTGATTTTTGAGGAAATTCCATAGCGTGGGAGAATTTGCACATAGTATTTTGTACAAACATCAGAGGAGTACAAAAACTGGTGTATTTAAGCTAGCCAGACTTTTGTTTGCTCAAGATTTCCCATATTTTTAGAATATGCAGTTGTTCTCTGTGGGACGCAATTGTCCTCTTTAGGACAATGTCTCATTGACTAAAATAATGGATTATTGGGATATTTGAAAGACTGAATAGAGTCCATGTTCTTGTCTCATAAAGAAAATGAGTGAGCTGTTTCCAGATGTTTCTGGAAAGACCTCTCATCTATGATCCTTCATATTTTGATTAAGCTACTTTTTTATTTTCCCCTTAACTTTGTTTTGCATTTGCTCACATTTTTTTTAGACTTGGGCATTTATATTTCTTTGAATTTTTTTATATTGACTCACCATTCTATGTGGATTAATTAGTTGATTAGTCCATGCGAATAAACAGTGAAATGTCTTTAACATTCCATAAAGTAATGATAATTCAGATGCTGACTGACCGTAGTATATGATATTCGTTTTCTGACATAATGTAAGGTAGATGTTTAGAGCATGGGCTTTGATGTTAGCACTCAATTCATGCCCAGGCTCTGCCAATTATTAATATTAGTTATGTGATCTTAAGATTAGTTAACCTCTCTAAACCTATTTTCTCCTCTGTAAAATTGAGCACAATCACCACCCCTACCTTGCAGATCGTACTGAAGAATGTTCAGCACTTGTCACAGGGCTGGCACATAACCAACTCTCAAAAGCGTGTAGTAGTCGTTACTGTTTCAGTATTTGGCAAAGATTTTTAAGCATACGTTTTCTTGAGTCTGTTACAAGTTTCCAGACAAGTAGAGGAAAAATTCCCACACTCCCTATTTGTTTTCAAATAGTCAGATTTTGGATAAACCATTAGGATTGTAGAGCAGATTGATAACTTGGTGGTCTGGCAGTCTATGGCACACCGCCTTTGAAACACATTGTTAAATAAAAGGTAATCCACATCACAAGTCCACGATGGTCCTTTTAGTTACCATGTAAGCCTGCTTCTATTTGGTTTTATACACCAGTGCAAAGTCTGAATCAGCTCTTAATAGTCTTTTGGTTTTAAAATAAATCGCTCACCTTTGTAGGAAGGTGGGTGAGTGGGCACTTTTGTTACAATGAACTGTTTCCTTTTTATTTAGACTAAGCAACCTGGGCATCCCTGGAGTGTGGGCTTTCCATATTGGCAGCACCTCCCCATTGGATAATGTTAAGCCAGCAACAGCTGGAGGAGAACTCTCCACTGCCCACTCTTCAGCTCCCTTGGAGCATTCCTTCAGCCATGCGGCAGCCCTAGAGAGCGACTACACTGAGGACAACTTGGATTATTATGATGAGAATGAAGAGGAAGTGGAATACCCCCCGGGTGAACCAGAGGAGGCATCCAACAGCCACAGCAGCATTGATGTTGCCTTCCACCCAGAAGCTGATTCAGAGCCTGTAGGAGGTGGGATCTCCCCTCCAGAGTCTGCCTTGGCCTCCCCTCCGCCATACCCAACACCGAGTGATTCGCCATTCTACCCTGAAACAGAATCTGCCACCTTGGACCCTCAAACCAAAGAGGGGGCATCTTTGGAGGAGATAGAGGCCCCCAATTTAAAAGTTGAGTCTTCAGACCAGACAGGGACCAGAAGCCTGGCTCCACCTGAGGTGGATGGAGAGTCACTGGCTCCTTCCGGGGAAGCCCCACCACCCCACCCTGGAAACAGAAGCATGCAGCCCCACCCAGGTGAAGCGGCAGTACCTTCAGAAAGGGATGTTCCTCCAGCCCATCCTGAAGGAGAAGTTGTTCTTCCAAATTACCCTGTGCCGGGTCACACTCCACCCCTGGGTCGAGGGACGTATGTAGTAGGAGTGGAAGATGACATCGGTTCCAACACCCAGGGTAAGTGTGTTAGAAAGCTGGGTGCTGAGGTTTCATTTTAACAGTGCTGATTTTGCATAGAGTTGTGATTTTTCTCTTTAAGTGAGTAGGTGAAAAGTTTAGCAAAGAGAAGATTGGAACTGATTTGTAATCCCTGTGTTTCAGGAGATAGAGTAAATTTCCTTTGCCAAATAAATCTTGGCAGACAGATTCTGTTTAGAATCCCTTGATCATTAATAATGTTTTTAAAAAATAGGCCTCATAGTGAGTGGGGAAGAACTGGGTTTCTTATGCCAGCCACGCTCTCAATCGTAATGAAGCATTTCAGTTTGAAAGTTCAGCAAAGGTAAAATATTTTGAGGCTTCATACACATTCCAGTGGCAGAGGGCTTACTGCTTTAGTTTTAAGTGTTGAGTTGTGCTGGCTCAGATGAACATGCCAGATTCATACTTAGTTACGGGCCAACCCTTGCGCTCCCCTTGCTTAGGAAGATACACTTGCAGTGTGGGAGAGGAGAGCCCACGGGGAGAGAAAATGACTAAACACCTGTGTCTGTTGTCGTTTCTGGTTCATGGCGGTGCAGCTGCGGCATGCAGCTCCCTGGAGCCTTGTCCTCATTTCATAACTCACTGACCAGAGGGAGAGGCGAGGAGGGAGCTGCCGAGAGCAGGCCGTATTGAGCAACACAGACACGGAGCCCCCGTGCAGCCCTCTCGTCCCGGGAGAGACTTGTCACGCCAGCTCTTTCTTCCCAGTCAGGGATGGAAAGACATGAATGGGAAACTGACCACACATTCATTCCATTTGTTCCAAGGACTGCTCCTCTGACCTCTAATGGTAGGAAAGAGGTCAGAGGTGACAGCTTTCTTCTGAACCTAAATTTTTTTCCACCTTTTCTGTTTCCTATCCCTGTTGTGGCAAAAACACGCTGACCTAGCAAAGAGGACCTTCTGCTGTGATGTGGACCTTCAGGATAGTGCTTGGAGAAGCACTTTTTCAAGAGGGAAGACAATATTTTATGCTAATGTGGAATTGTGCCAGCATTAGAGGAGAGCTTGGGGTCAGACCTGAGCTTGAATCCTGGGTGCCACACTCGCCCGGTGACCTGAGGCAACTCATGGAACCACCAAGCCTCTGGTTGCTCATGAATTTGTTGGGAGGGTTAAACGGGATGATGTATATGAAATTAGTGTCTTCACTACTTCGTTCTTAATACATGGTGGCTGCTGTTGATTGTGGAAGATTTAAAACAGTAGCAATGGGGTAGAGGATGGGTAGAGAATGAAGAATGTGCTTATTAAGGAATTTTGCCTTAATTTGTGCCTAAGGGGCCACATGTCCATACAGTTGAAGATGTGAATTTTCTTGGGAGGCTTCAGATTATGCTTCTGATAATCTCCCGAATTTCCAGTGTGAGTTCTCTGTATCTAAAGAAACCTTAAAGCCAAGTATCAAACATTTTCACAAAGGGATTTTGAGGTAAAGATGCATTCCTGAACAGCCTTTTCATTCCTGAGTTGTGGTTTCCTGCCCTGGGAAGAGCTTGGGAATATTAAAAAGCAGATCGACGGAGTCCACTCGCAGAGCTAAGAAGGGGCCGCATGCCCCGCGTCAGGCTGCGGGAGGCTGAGCTCTCTGGAGTAGCGGTGTGGGAGGCTTAGGGAGCCGGCTGCAGAGAACAGAAGGCTGCCGCCATGATCCTTGTGGGGCATGAACTATGACATTTATCCGCTGCTGGATGGAGTCTACTACTGACATTTTGGAAATGGCAAAATGCCTGTGAAAAAGCTTGGTTAATACACCGAGACGTGTAGGGTGAAAAAAATCTAACTAGAAGTTTTTGAACCTTGGAGGAAAAACACCCTACCTTTTTCTAAGAAAGGGCTTTAGGGAGATGTGTGAAGTGGAGAAGCGTGCAGTTGTTAAATACTTTGGGGGAGGACAGTGACCACTTTTCCCAAATGAAACACTGGAGCCCCAGAGGCCCATCAGGCAAGCTGGTCTCACTGCGGGAAGCGGGTGGAGGGCGTGTCAGAGACTCACACAGCTCATCGCCTGGTACTAAGTACCCAGCCAGGGGCCATCTGCCTGGATTTTTCTATTAATGCAATAGAAAGTGCATGGTTTTGGTGCTAGGTGGACTTGAGGTTGATTCCCAGCTCTACTATGTTGTTTGGGGTAAGCCATATACGCTGTTTGACCCTTGCTTTCCTCAGCTATAAAATGGAGGTAATGCAGACCTCATTATGTGCATGTGAGAACTGGGATGTTGGGCATGAGAAAAATACATTTTATTATAGTTTCCCTTTTAAGCTTCATATTAGTCATCTTGCTAAACCAAGAAATTAAGATTTAATTAAAGGCCCAGAAAATATTTTTCCCCTTAATTTTTTTCTCCTTAGGGACTCTTTTTACAGACTTTTTTTTTTTCGTTCAGAAACCTAGATTCTTAGCCAAGCACAGTGTCTCACACCTACAATCCCAGCCACTAGGGAGGCTGAGGTGGGAGGACTGCTTGACCTCAGGAATTGGAGACCAACTTGGACAACATAGCAAGACACCCTCTCTAAAAGAAAAATAAATAAACAAATCTAGATTCTTTTCAGATTACGTCTATACCAGGTAGGAATGTCCTAGTCACACTCGGGTTCTGTTTTCATAGATCACAGAACCAGCATGACAACGGATGTGTAAGCATCCTGTGTCTGGGGAGTCTTGTTTTTCTAGAGAGCACCAGTAGTTTTGTTGTTAAGCCAAAAAGTTACCCGAGCACCTGCCATGTACCCTTCTCTGAACCAGGTGCTAGTGGGAGCTATTGCTAGCTTTTACTGAGCACTCCCTGCTACTCTAAGTGGGAACTTGGCTTCAGATTGCATCATCACGATTAGTCCTCAGAATCTCCCTGTGAGGTAGATATTATTATCCTTCCCATTCTGCAGAGACAGAACTGAAGCCTGGAAATACTGACTGACTTGCCTATGAAGAGGAAGACCAAGACTGTAGCAAAGCCATGAAAGACTTAGAGAAAGCTGTAAGGTAACACAGAGAGCCAAGGGCGCTCTCTGTGAGTGTAACTGTAGGGAGGGAAGTCTTTGAGAAGGAGGAGGGGTCTGAGCCAGGCCTTGGAGTCAGAGTTTGAATTAAGAGAGGGGCAAAGTGTGAAAGCATTCTGGACAGAGGAGTGACAGGAGTGGAAGTGCAGAGGTGGAAGGGGAGAGGGGCAGAGAGGGAGTAGGTTGAGGCAGTGCCTGGGGCCCGGGACTGCCTGTGTTGTCAGCAGCGAGGAATGAGGTTGACTTTCAGGGGTCTTAGATGTTCTAAGCTGGCTGAGGCGGTTCAAAAGCAGCTTAATTTAATCTCAGTCTGCATGATGAATTAGAAAGAGGGGGGACACCTGGCTTTCAGAACCTCATGTAGTCTAGTCTTGGCAAAAGCTGCAGGAGTGTGTTGCCCATTTGAACGAATTCAGATAGGCCCTGCTGCCCAATCCAGTCTTCCAGGCACAAAAGCCCTCTCCCGGGTGCACCTCCAGGCTGCTGAGGGTCTGTGGATGAACTGGGAGGGCCCCCCCATCCCTGTGAAGACACCTGCACGGAAAGACTCCTGGTAGGGGCCTGTTCCCTCACAAGAAGTGGAGAGAGCCTGTTAGTGTCATGACAGCCCGCCCAGGGTCCTGATCACTGTGCCTCCCCGACACACACGTCAAAATTAAACATGAAAACTGGAGGAAAAAGCAAACCACTGTTTTTCATTACAAAGTTGGATGTGGTTTTTCTAACTAGTCAATCATTCTGGGAGGTGAGGAAACTTAGAAAAAGCTGTCTTGCAGTGAAAATATTGGTTCTTTTCCTTGAGGTGGCAGTAAAAGTTGTTAAGAGTAAAAGTCGCTCAGCTGCCTTGGGTCAGCCCTGTGCGTGACGCCCTTGTGTCAGCACAGCGAACGCGGTCTGTGTTGTGGGGCGGCCCATGTGGCTGGGCTGGAGCCCCCGGTGGAGGAGGGCAGGTGGGCCAGGGGCTGCAGACGAGTGCTTGTGCGTTTCTGGGAAAATGAAGATTGAAGGATGGGTCAGAACAAGTGCAGAGGAGAATTTTCCATTTTTGTTAAAAACTCCCAACGAGGACAAGTCTACAGCACTTTGGCAGTGCCTTTGTTTCTTTCCCCTTATGCATCCCCACCCCATTTTTCTTTCTATTTAGGATATGAGAAGAGTAAAAAAAAACAAAAGCAGTAGATGGAAGAAAGAAGTGAGATTTAAAAAATCTTCATGTTAAGAATCCTTTAGCAACTGCCAGTCCTCGGTTAACAAATCTGTGACAAAGCTCATTTGAACCTGGCCAGTCTCTTCCCTCCTGCTGGGCCCCAAGATGCCAGCAGACTTGTCACTGTATTGTTTTTGACTTTCTGTGACAGGAGCTTCCTGGCAGAGCGTGGATCCCAGAGGGTCTGGCAACAACCTGCCCGTGTGGGTAGGGTCAGGAGAGACGAGGCCGTGGAACAGAAACTGTATTTCTCACAGTGTGGGCTCTCGTCCACCTTCCTCTCACTCACCTGGGTCCCAGCTAAAATCACTGATTTCCATATCCTTCCTCCACCTTTGCAACCAGAATCTGCATTTTTAAGCCAGGTCCCCTCATTCTGATGCCCCCTGAACTTGAGTACTGCTGGAGTAATGGAGGGAGCATGAAATTTAAAGCCAGATGGTCATTTAATCTCTGTGGGCCTCAGTTTTCTCATCTATAAAATGGAGGTAATATCTTCTTGCCAGAATAGAGAGAAGTGTGTGACAATACGCTCAAAACCATAATGTAAAGGGCATACAAATGACCACTGAAAAGGATGTTATTGCACATCACATCGAGCTGAGAAGCAGACCTTGATTCCAAGCCTTCGAGAAATTTAGCATCTTTGAATCTAAATGCAGAGATCTATTCCAACGAGCATGGGTTCAATGCTGGGCCTGTGGGGATCACTTTATTTGTCCCTAGATGATTCTATCACTTTGTTTGTCCCTAGATGATT